CCGGCGGGAGGGGGCACGGGTTGCAAGCGCGGCAGGGGCCCCGCAGTACGGCCCACACGGCCGTCTCATCATGTCTGTTAACCCTGGGGGGATCGTTGTCAGCTTGCTCCTCTTCATCGCTCTCTTCGCGGTGATCCGCGCCAGGGGCGGTCAACCCGCGCAGGATGAGACTAGCCGCGCCACCTGCTTCGAAGGGGAAACGGTGAGGTTGACGCAGTATCTGGAGGAGATCTGGTGTATAATTTTGGCGAGCAAAGGCTGATGTTCGCCCTCGCTGGCGATGGCCTGGGCCAGAGTCGGTGGGTCATCGGGCCCCCGCATGGTACCCCAGACGAGGGCGGCCGCTGGGCACCAGTGCCAAACGTGCTCGGTCGTGGCCTCTCCCAGCCCACAGAGCGGGCAACGACCGTATGGCCCGACCCTGACAGGAGGCCTCAAGCGCCTACCTGAGCTAGCATATACATCCGCCTGAGCCCTCAGAGGGGGGAGGAGGGAGTCAGGCGGAAGAGTTTGCCAAAGGGCGAAGGAGTGTGGGCCGTTGCCGATACATCTAACACACCAGGCCGCCCCCTCGTCGTTTGGGCCAGCGGTGATCCACACTTTGCTGGCCGGCGCCCCGCAGGGACACCTGCGGGGCATTCGCTCGTCGTTACCTCTGCGTCTTGCCGGGCCCGGGAGGCCGTTGCTGAGAATCCTCAGCACGTGGTGCGCAGTGGTGAAAGTGGCGCAGTGCCGCAGCAGCTGCCATTCCTCTCCTCCGGAGGGCTGCCATCTTCTCCCTTGGCTGGTGTTCTGAAGCCAGGCGCTGAAGTGATGACTGTTCATCTGGGCCCGGGCCGCCGCGTATGTAATCCTGCCGTATTGCCTGCCTTCCAGTAGGTGAGGTCGCTGCCTCGCGACGAGCAAGGCCTGGGCGGCCTTCCGTTCAGTGATCATCTTTGGTCGCGAGGGAAACGTCTCGGGGGCCCTAGCTGCGAGGACACTCCAGTTCAGCAGCTTGTCCCATCTGATGCTGGCTCTTTTCCGGAGCGCGCTGGGCCCCCAGGAGTCGCCGAGGGCGAAAGCTCTTGCGGCGACCGCGCGAGCCGTCGCTACAGGGCACCTGGGGGTGCCCTACCTGGAAGCGGATGCCAAGTCCGGTCAGAACTAGGTCGGGGACCCAATAGGCCCCGGCCAGCCCGAGAGCCGTCCTCAGCTGGGCGCTCAGTTCACGCTCCTGCGCCATGTCGGGGGGGGCGTAGTGCGCAGCGTAGGGGGCCAGGGAGATCAGGTAGGCGTTCCAAGCAGCGGCGGTCCGGGAAGGAGACATTTTGGCCAGGCGCAGCGCAAGGGCTCTCTCCCTAATTACGGGGAGGGGGCGGTTCCACGTACCCTTGCATAGGGCTTCCTCCTGCTCCTTGGTGAGACCCCCGTTTCGTGGGGGTTCGTCGCCTTCCGCAGCGCGGGACACCACCACTGCCCCCAGATACGGCCATTGATCCCTCACCGCCGAGCCTCCGAAGGGGGTATGCTCCATGAGTGCGCGCCACCATCCTTAGTTGCCCGCGGGTACGAGCGCTGTCTTGAAGGTGCAGTTGCAGGCGTGCTGGTAGTGTGAGCACCGGACCGGGCTTTGACCCCCCGTATGTCCGTCAACCAGGGCCCTAATCAGGTCCCCTGGTAGCCCTGAGATAAGCACACTGCCTCCGTCTTGCTCAAAGTGCACAGGGACCTCCTCCAGCGCTGCGCGAAGGATGGGAGAGTCCTCGGTGCGTATCCCCCTGCACCTATGTGCCTCGACTAGGAGCCCAGCGGCCTTGGCGGCCCAGGGAAGAGCAATTGCTGCGCGCAGCGCTTGCCTCGTCGTGCTGAGCAGGGCGGCGAGGTCGTCAACGTAGGTCGGGTCATCATCTCCTGTGATGGAGGAAATGGCGGCGATGAGTGGGTCATATCCCAAGCTCCACAGGAGGGGAGAGGCGGTGCCCCCCATGCCGACAGACCTTAGTAGGCGGCGTTCTGGGCCTTTGTACTTCCCTTTGCATGTCTTTACTCTTCGTTCAGCAACCAGGGAGTTAAGAACGTTAAGTAACCACGTGGAAAGCCTCCATCTCCGTAGGAGGGTGTCCACCCGTTGAAGCGAAATCCTCTCGAAAGCCTTGTTCTGGTCGCAGAAGATCACGGCTGTGCAGGGGGCATCACCCAACGCAGTCGCGGCACGCTCGACGTAGTTCTCGACCACTGCGGCGTGCTGACCAAGAAGTGCGGTCCATCCGGGACCTGGTATTGTTAGTGGTTTGGGGGTAGCGCTCAAGTGCTGCGTGACTTTGGTAATGTTGGGGCCACACTGGCCTCCCCGCTTGGCGGCCTGATTGGGACTTAGGAGTAGTTCAACGACTGCGCCTAGTAGGTCGGCCAAGGATGCACCGTAGAGACGTCGAATGCAGGTGGGGAGTTGTAGCGGTCTCATGTCGTTGGGCCCTTCTGCGCCCGGTTTCTTCCCTATCCAGACTAGTAGGTCACCTGAGGGCCCGTGTACTTCTTCTATGAAGGCTGGACTGAGGTCTGCGGCGTACCATGCTTGGGCAATGAGGCAGGCGACGAATCTTGAACCGGGGTGAAAGGCCTCATAAGGAACTCCATCAACCCCCGGGGCGCTCCCGCTGGGAGCAAGGACGGTGGCCGCCAGCTTGGCCCACCTAGGTCTGGGTCGGCTGGAAATGTCAACTCCGGGGTGCCCCTGAAAGTCATGGTCAAGGAGCCGGCCGGCCGAGCCAGGCAGGGGAGGGGCGGAGTGCCATATCGCGCTGCGACTGTCCCACAGTACGTTAACTATCAACCTGGTTGGGTCTGTCATGCCATGTGCCGTTGTGGTCCCTCACGCCTAGGACCGCGTGGGTCTTCTTGTATATTTCCCGCCCGGTCCTGTAAGGGGCCGCAAGGGGGGACCGTTCCGCTCATGGGCCTCTTTGTGCGGGGGAGAGCCGCGCAGCTCTTCTCTGCGTGACTTCGGCGTCCCAGGTTCTGAGCCAGAGCCCTGCCTGCTCCGGAGTTAAGTCGTGCCCGTCCCACCCGTACTCGTGTAACCAGGCCGCCAGGGCCCCCACCGGGCGCGTCACTTCTTGTTTCTGACTGGCCGCCGCCAGCAGCAGTCCCGGGGAGGTCCGCGTTCTGTACGACTTCCACTTCCTCCACCAGTCCTGAAGAGCGGAGGAGAGGGCGTGCCTGCCGAATCTCATGAGGGTGGGGAGAACTGGTGGGGTGGGCCCGTGGTCATCGGGCTCTCTTGGCACTGGAGCCGGGTCGGTGGGAAGGCGTGAGGTGTCGCCGTCGTCGTTGTCCGGGTGATGGTCGGGGAAGCCTCCTGGGCGGGCCGGCCTAATCCAGTCGGAGGGCTGGATAAGGCCGCTAAGGTTGACGGTAGGCACACCAAAGAGAAGTTCTAGGTGCGCGTAGAGTCGACGGAGTTCCACGTGCGCTGCGGTTGGGAGGTTCCTCAGGTCAGCGGCCCTCATGGTGTCGTCTCTTATTGCTCTTTTCGCGCCCTGGGGTTCGAGCGATATGAGAGCGTGGTCTGACAGCGTGAGCCTCCACAACTTCCGAGGGTCGTAAGCATGGATGTGGCTGACAGGGCAGGCGCACATGTCGATTTGGGACTCACTATCCTTGTCAATCCGGGTGGGGCCATGCATGTGAATGGCCACCGAGCCGGAACTGGTCAGGATGTCCCTCAAGAGGGCAGCTGCCTCTACCGTGGGGATACGCGAAGCGTCTAGAATTTTGTCCGTTCTGGCCGATCCTTTCCCAGACGAGACGTTGGCCTCCAGGACACAGCCTGGTGGCAATGCTAGCGGTCCTGCGTACCTTCCAAGTTTTTGCCCATGTGTGAAAGGAATGTCAGAATAAGGTGAGCAGAGGTGACTGTCACTACCCATGCGGAGTGCACATGCGTAATCATATGGTGCCGCACGTGGTATAATACACGTACCATGATAAGCGAATGGTGGGACATTTCCCCATTGTCACCGGCACCCACGATCAAGGATTGGAGAGCCCAAGTGCTAATCCCGACATAGGAAGAGTTATACCTATCCGTAAGGGCACCAGCGCTGGACTACAATCCCTCTCCTCCGCCTCCTCCTCCTCCTCCTCCTCCTCCTCCTCCTCCTCCTCCTCCTCCTCCTCCTCCTCCTCCTCCTCCTCCTCCTCCTATTCCTCCTCCTCCTTCTATTCCTCCTCCTCCTCCTCCTCCGCTTCCTCCTCCTCCTCCTCTTCCTCCTCCTGCACGCCTCCACCCATCACCGCAGGCCTTCCGGAGTTTGACACGGACCGCGTTTCATAAATGGGGGACACCAGGCTCACGATTTACGAACGCAGCGAAAACTGCCTCGCGAAGATTCTCCGCACGTCCCCACGAAACGCCCAAACTGGTCCCGATACCTTCTAGGCATCACCTCGGACAAGGTGTCAGGCTCCCCGGAAACCCAACACAATCGTTCAGCGCATATCCCTCATGCTCTCTGCATATGAACTGATCTGCACCTGTGTAGGTGAAGAAAGGCCCAAAACTATACACCCAGACCATGAGACTGCACAAACCGGCCCCTGCTTCCACAGCTAACAATAGCCCCCCCTCCAAAGGGCTCCGAGATGCTTCGCTACCACTTCGACTTGCTCCCCGAAACTCATCAGCCCTACGGGCCGCTGGCATAGGGCGTAGCCCTTCATACAAACAATCGTCACCATCATCCTCATGCCACTTCACTCCTCTTCCTCAGGTCTGTAGCTCCACTCGTGGGTGGCTGCACGCCCCTGGCAGTGGTTTCGTAGGGAGTCGTTCGCGGCATTCCAATCCGATCCGATCCAATGGGGCAGGAGTAACGGTATTGGTACGTTTTTGTGTTCCTAATCCTTCTCCTCCTCCTCCTCATCATTCTCCTCCTCCTCCTCCTCCTCCTCCTCCTCGTCCTCCTCCTCCTCCTCCTCCTGCTCCTCCACCTCCTCCCACCCCTCCTCGACGAGGCCTCCGCAGGGACCACGAAGGTGGTGATCGACCGAGGCGGTGCCTGGGGCGGGGCGGGGCGGCAAAGGCGGGCACGAGGGGGCGGGAAGCGGGAGCGGAGGTGGGAAGGGCCCGTTCCGGGACGTGGGAGGAGGTCCGCCAATCGGGAGCGGCCACTTCCAGGGGGGGTGGACGGGGTGGCCCTTCAGAGCAAAGACTGGGCGCGGACTGCGCGGGGGCCGCGGCAAACGGTGACGCCCCCGCCCCCTTCTCGAGACCCTGCCTGTGACCTCCTCCTCCTGGTCCTCCTCCTCCTCCTCCTCCTCCTCCTCCTCCTCCTCCTCCTGCTCCTCCTCCTCCTGCTCCTCCTCCTCCTCCTTCTTCCCCTCCTTCTCCTCCTCCTTCTGTACCCTCTGCCTCCATCCTCCTCCCTCCTCCTCCCCCCTCCCTCCCTCCTGCTCCCTCCATGCAGTTGCTCACATGCGAATACCAATCTCGTCTCTCTCCCTCGACGATGTGCTGAAAGTGGCGCGTCCCCCTCCGCGTATTGCTTTGCACAGGGTTGGTGCGAATTGTTTTTGTTCCTTCGGCGGCTTTTCAAATCCGAGCGCTCGCGGCCCTTCCGAAATGACGTTCCCGCCGCAGTATGGGCCTCGCTTCAGGACCGACGCTTTCCCACGCCGTTCAGAATGGCGCTCTCGCCCCAGCGCGAGCCACTGTTTTGGATCCAAATCCTTCTTCATCTTTGCAGCCCCCCCCTTTGTCCACTCCTCCGCCTTCCCCTGGTCCTCCTGCTCCTCCCGCTCATTCCACTACTGCTGCTTCTGTTCGTCCTCGTCCTCCTTTTCCTCCTGCTCACCCCCCCTGCTGATCCGCCATCTCCTCCTCCTCCTCCTCCTCCTCCTCCTCCTCCTCCTACTCCTCCTGCTCCTCCTCCTCCTTCAATGTATGCATCTCCCCTGTTTTCCGATCACACATGGCACGATCGATACCTTTTTGAATGCTCAATGGATCCGCTGTGACACGCGTCGGCGGATCGAGACAACATGTCAGGCAGCGTGGGTCCCGAACAGCCATCTCTTGCAACGCATGCGGTGCAATCTGCAAGGTGCAGCCAACGTGGACAAATCTGGGTGGTGCAATCCATGTGGTGCAACACTCGGCTACACGTAAGCGTGACCCTGGGTAAGAGTGGTGCGCGGCTTAACGGGGGACGCGGGGTGGCCAATGCTGAGCGCGCAAGCCACTGCTGCCGCTTCGCGCTCAGCGATCGGGGGAGCCCTTTGGGCCCGCACCAAAGGTCAGTCCGGCGAAAGGTCAATCTTACGTGTAGTCGGAGCACATGTGGCGCAAGGCTCTGCAACATGAACCCAGCGCCACCCCGATTGGGGGAGAGCCTACTGCACGGGCGCAACGCTGGACGCATCGCCTGGCATCGCTTGGCATTGCCTGGCACTGCTTGGGGCAACCGGGGACGGTGAACTCAGGTAACCCCGGGAACCCGAAGAGCCCGGGGAACCCGGGGAACCCAGGGAACCCGAGGAGCCTCCGAGAAACGGGCAAAGTAACAACAGGAGGCACTGGGGGCGGGGAACCCGAGGAACCCGAGGAACCTTTGGGCAACGGGCACAGTAACATTAGGAGGCACCAACCTTTAATCCAGGTAAGAGCCCCTTGGGCAAGCGTAACGGGAGACGGCGGCGACGGGCGGCAACAGAGGGCGCTGGGCGGCCACGAGCTGGTCGGACCGACAGTGGAGCTCAGTTGCCAGCGGCGACAGCGGCGGCGACGGGCGGCGACGGGCGGCCACAAGCCAGCCCACCCACAACCTGGCCCAGCTCCTTAGAAAAGAAACAGGAGCCCCTTAAGCGTAAACACTGCTTGAGGGATCAGCGCCATGGGAACGGATGGGCTGGAGGGATAGAGATGCCAGACATGGCGCGAGCCCACCCAGCTTGCCCGTTCCCTCTCTCCTGTTCCCTCTCTCCTATCCCCTCTCTACTCATGCTCCCTCCGCCTACTGCTCCCTCATTCTCCTCTTCGTCCCCCTCCTCTCCCTCCAGCGTTCTTCCCCCTCTTCGTCCCCCTGAGCAGCGCGTTTCTGCATTTTCGGCGCTAATGGGCATTATGGGAGGGGGAGGGGCCAGGGAGGGGAGTTTAATGTAACGCCTCCTCCCGGCCGTACGCACGGCGGCAGTGCCCGGAGCGCACTGGGGGGGGAGGGGCGTTAGGTTCTAGGGGGGCGGTCAGGGGGGCCAGGGGCTTTTATGCCCATTATGCCCCAAGCGATAAAGAAACACGCTCCAAACACACACACACACACACACGGGCGCCTCCGCGATCGCCGCCTTCAATGGCGTGCCCGCGCCCGCCCCGGCAACCTTCAGCCAGAAGCGCATGCCCTCCTCCGTCTGGTTCATCACGACCACGGCCACCGTCCCGTCGGGATTCGCGAACGCGGTGACCTCGCTCCGGCGGCTCCCACCTCTCATCCTCCTCATCCTCGTCGTGCTCCTCATCATCGTCACCACCACCAACCCCACCACCCCCACCACCATCATCATCACATCATCACATTATCACATCATCATCACCACCACCATTATCATCATCATCTCAGCATCACCATCATCATCATCATCATCATCATCATCATCATCATCATCATCATCATCATCAGCATCATCATCATCATCATCATCATCATCATCATCTTCATCGTCATCCTCGTCATCGTCATCGTCATCGTCATCATCATCATCATCATCATCATCATCATCATAATCAGCACCATCATCATAACATCATCCTCCTCCTCATCATCGTCATCATCATCAGCAGCAGCATCATAGTCGTCGTCGTCATCGTCATCATCATGGCCATCATCAAACTTAGCATCATCATTACCATCATCCCCATCACCATCACCATCACCATCACCATCACAATCATCATCATCATCATCATCATAATCATCGTCATCATCATCATCATCACCATCCATCATCATCATCATCATCATCATCATCATCATCATCATCATCATCATCATCATCATCATCATCATCATCATTATCGTCATCATTATCATCACCATCACCATCGTTAGCATCATTCATCATCATCCTCATCATCGTCATCATCATCGTCATCGTCATCTTCATCCTCATCATAATCAGAATCAGCGCCATCATCATAACATAATCCTCCTCATCATCGTCATCATCATCAGCAGCAGCATCATGGTCGTCGTCGTCATCATCATCAT